CAAACTTACTTTATAAATTTGAAAACCTGAAGGCTGACAAATTTGAAGTCCTCTTTTTTTTTCTATTGAGCTAAGTGTCTTTTTCCTATAATTACATTATATTTACAGAAAACTGAAGCTTTCAAAGCATTTTAAATCCTAGAAAAGCTGTGTAATTCTCATTTTAGAGACAACAAGACTCCAGAGATTATTATCATGTTTACCAAGTGGCAGGTCAGGGAAAGAACACAGAATAAGTTGATATCTATTTTTTTTTTTTTTATCTTTTTTTAGACAGGGGCTTCCTGTAGCCCCCGCTGTCCTGGAACTCGCTATGTAGACAAGGCTGGCCTTGAACTCAGAGATCCACCTGCCTCTGCCTCCCAAGCTCTGTGACTACAGGTGTGCACCACCATGCCCAGCTGATATCTGTTTCTTTAATATTTTATTTATTATTTTTATTTTATGAGTATGAGTGTATTGCCTGTATGCATGTAAGTGCACTTGTGTCTTGCAGTACCCAACAACAATGTAAGCAAAATTTATAAAGTGTAATGTTAGAATCCAACAATCTACTTATGCAACAGTGACAGAAAAGTTAAAACTCCATCAAAGAACCACAAGATTCATGGCATACTTATGAAAATCACCCATTTTCTCACTGCCACTTCACTTACTTTAGAGGATGCATTCTTCCCATACTAACTGTCTCCCCTTCCTTTCTGTTTTTTCCAAGTAGCCCATGCTGGCCTTGACATCTGATCCTCCTGCCTTTATCTCTTAAGTGCTAGGATTAAAATATCACATCACACCCATTCTATCCCATTCCCATCTCCTCCAACAAGCCTCCCCCCACCACCCCCCACAAGTTTATTTTGTTGTTGTTGATGCTGATGTTTATAAAGCCTTCTATCAGACAAATGCATTAAACCATCTCAGACTCAACTACTGGTTCCCACTTAAATGTTTTCTTTTAATTTTAATTTTATACGTATGAGTGTATTGCCCGCCTGTATGTGAGTGCACCATTGTGCAATGCCATGAAGGTCAGAAGAGGGCATCAGATTCTCCTGGAACTGGAGTTACAGACGGTTAGCTACCATGTGGGTGCTGGGAATCGGACCCACATCCTCTGCAAGAGCAGTCAGTGCTCTTAACCGCTAAGCCATCTCTCCAGCCCCTAAGTGTTTTCTTTTTTTATATCATCCACTCACAACCAAGAACCAAAACAAGGTGTAGAGAGATGCCTCAGTGGTTAAGAACACTGGCTGTGCTCATATAGGACCCAGGTTTGGTTCCTAGCACCCACATGGTGGCTAACAACCATTTGTAACTCCAGTTCCAGGGAATCCAAAGCCCTCTTCTGGCCTCCATAGATACTGCACAGCACAGGTGCACTTACATACATGCAGGCAATACACTCACACACACAAAATATTGGCAACTGATTGCTGCTAGATGAAGAAGAGCTGATCTTCCTAAAACAAGGGACTATAGTTCGGCTGACTAGACTCAGTGGATGGACTTGTACTGGGGAATGGCTGGGGGCACTGACAACACAGTAGACAGTAACAGGATGACAGAGTATATGTGCTCCAGGGTGCCAGTTGGGGTATATAAAGATGATTGTTTGAGATGGTCTGTATGAAGTACACAGGAAAAAAAAATCAATTAAAACAAACAAAACAAATCACCTATAACTTTGTATATTACCAAATAGAAACTTGAGATTCAAGGGAAGATACATGAATGGAATTATAAAAGAGAAAAGTTAGGGGAAGAAACACTACCGAATCATATCATACTTATCAAGAGGCAGAAAATGACTGATAGGAAATGACTAATAAAGGCACTGAGGCCTGAGGGCAAGGATGGAGCTGAGGAGTTTCTGACAGTAACAGCATCCCAAAGCAAAAGTGGCAACTAAGAGCTTATGCTAAGTTCTCTTGCAGCACTGAGGAGACACTTGCTATGAGTCATTGCCTCACATGAAGGAGGACAGACAGAGAAGCCAAGCTCTGCAGTGTAAGCTGTGAGAAGCACTGACAATGGCAGAGACGTGTGCAGAGCTGCAGGATGAGCAAGCTGGGACGAGAAACAACCACCAGCGATTACAAGTGCTTTGGGAACAGCTACTTACAATAGAAAAAGTCAAAAGGAACAAACAATGCATTCCAAACCATTTTTAGCTATCAATCTCATAAATAAACAACTTCATTTGTTCATTTTCATTAAGAAGAGAGTGAGAAATATCCTCCCAGTTGAGACAGTGAAGATTACCAGAGAAAGCTCTGCCTTTCAGAGACTCCTCAGAGAACTCAAGCACGGAGTCTTCATTTCTTAGGTTAAAAGAGAAAGTAGAAACAGGGCTCCATTGTTCTGGTGAAATTACCTGTCCAAAAAAAAAACATACACACATTAAAAAAAAAAAAAAAAGACATTTTATGCCAGTCAGATTAATGATGGAAGATATTATGTAAGGTATGTTTATAAATTATATTTACAGAAAAATATTAATACACAAGAATGTATATTGATAACATGTGTAGATAGAATCATACCTACAGGAAACATAGTTGTGTTCCCAGTACTGTGGCAATTTGAAGACTGTACACTATTTGTTGGTTTAATTTGGAAATAAATTCAGTATGTCTTGCTTTCTAGGGATTATATGATAATCTGTTTCAATAGTTGCTTCACGAGAACTGATGAATCCATAGTTCGTTATCAAGGCATCATTAATATTAGTTGCACTGTGAATTAATAATGCCTCATGCAAAATTTATGAATGATGTCAAAAGGCTGATTTGCTTTATTTATTGGGTACACTAAGAATAAACGTCAGTGTAAAGTAGGAGTGCTGGGCTTCAGTCCCCTGCTAATTCAAAACAGCCAATCCTGAATATTTAAAATGAACTATATTTTGATTACTAAGATGATTACATGGAAGTCCAGTGAATTACTAATATTTTTATTAATCCAAATTTTTAAATATTTTTGTAGGTATTATTGAATGCTATTAATAAAAATGTTCTGTAACGCTAAATAGATAAGTGAAAATAATCATTAAACAATTATAAGTATATTTACATGTACATTCATGACTATAATAAATTTCAGTGTTGCTCTTTGAAAAATGAAAAACAAAAAACAAAAACAAAATCATTGACTAAAATGTTTTTACTATATCATTTCCTATTAGTTTGAATTCTAGTAGCCTCTATTATAAAAATAACTATTTTAAGAACATTGGAAGAAAAGAACTTTAAACTCCTAACAAAAAGGAGCAGGCTAGGGTAAACATACTAAACTAGAAAATAAAGCACAATGCATAAAGATCTGGACTTATTACAAAATGGTCTGTATTCTGATCTGGGCTGACTGGGCTATGACTTGGTTCTGGAGCTAAATCTCCATTTTAGGAGACTCAGTACACTCTGGATTGTGGAGATCTAGATCCCTGCCTGCCTAAGTCTGAGTGCCTTTGTCTTATATTCTCAAGTTTGGGGTTATCCATAACTCATCTACATTTCAAGATATTCCTATTTCAACGTACCGCAGACCTGAGCAGACATATAATTTATTGTTATTCTCATTAGAACAGCATTCAATTTTTGCTGTACCTTTAAACCCTAATGACAGCCACATTCAATATTCAGTCAATTATTGCTGATAAACACCATGACCACAAAAGCAATTTAGGGGATGAAGGGATTTATTTCAGCTTATACTTTTCATTGCTTACACTGAGCTGGGCCCTCTCACTTAAATAATAAGATAATTCCTCACAGACATGAACATAATCATAGGCCATTCTGATCTGGGTAATTCCCTCTTCCCAGGTGACTCTAAGCTGTATCAAGCTGTAAAAACTAACTAGCACAAATATATATTTGTATAAATACAGAAATAATAAATGTTTGAAGGATTATTCACCAAACTGTTACAGAGTAATTTGAGTTATGTGTGGCTTTCGTTTTTCTTTTGAGTTCTTTTTTAAGACAGAATCTCACTATGTAGCTCAGGTTGCTACTATCCTCACTCCCTATCAAGGATGGGTTACAGGAATGTGCCACCACACTCAGTAAGATGGGCTGTGGCAGGAGTATAATCAGACAGAAAGCATTCTTTTACTTACAACTTTCTGAACGGTTTGACTTGGGAAAACTAATGTTTGTGTTCATTTTCCTTTCTTTTTATTTTTCTTTTTGAGAATACGGATTTAAGGTTGATAAATATAGCTCACTTGGTAGAGTGCTTGCCTACTATGTATAAGGCTCTAGGTTCAATCCCCAGCACCACTAGAGAAAAAAAGTTACTATAGAAATTTTAAAAGGCATTCTTAGCTACTAGGTTTTAGCTGTTATGACAGGACCAAAAAACATATACTCAGGGTCCCTGTGATCAAGGAGTTCAGTTTGTAAAAGATGCTAACAATAGGGCATTATAACACAATCATCATTTTCCTATATTATGAGTCAATGTTATAAGCACTTTAGATTGTTACTCTTGCTCTTTCCACAACCGTATGAATGAAGTACGGACTCTTGCTTTCCAAATTTGGAAGTGGTAGAGCTATGAAAATAGTAACCCATTTTCCTAAATCCATGTAGCATAGCTGAGGGTTCAAACCTAGTCAATTTAGACTGTATTTTATCTTTAATAAAAGTAACAGTAAGAGGGCTAGGGATGTATCTTAGTGGTAAAACCATGTGCCTAGTACACACAAGACCCTGGGTTCAATCCCTAACATTGCAAATACATACATACATATATTAAATACATACAAAAAACACATACTATAAAAAAAGAAAAAGGTAGTAAAAAATACTTAAGTACTCTACTCTGTTTCCCGACTACATTCTCCACAACTTGCCAGAATTGTTTCCAAAACTTAACCTCAGTCATTTTGTTTCACAGATCCAAACCTACTACCACCACCTAATCTCTCTCAAAGTACAAGGCAGCTCTTATGATATCTTTCATGGCCTGCTCTTTGATTTCACTCCCATCACTGTCCGGCTTGTCTCCATCTGTCATTTGTCCTTGCTATTCTATAAAATGGCCAGCATTCTCCTGCTTCAATACATCCTTCCCCCAGATATCAGCATGGCACTCTCACATTCTGGAGATGATGACACAAAGCTCTTGCTCTTGGCAATAAAAATAAATCACCCCCTCCCAAACGTCATATAAACTATGCAAAATCCAAATCACAGGTATTAAGAAGGAAAAAAACCCAGGTCAAAGGCATAGAAAATATTTAACAAAACCATACAAGAAAAATTCCCAAATCCAAGGAGGGAGATGTCTATCAAGGTCCAAGATGCAAACAGAATATCAAATACACAGGATCAGAAAAGAAATTCCCCAGGTCACATAATGATCAGAATGTTAAATGTACAGAACAAAGAAAGGATACTGAAAGCTGCAATAAAGAACAAATCACATATAAAGGGAGGCCTATCAGAATAGCATTGACTTTCAATTCAGTTCTGAAATACAGGAGGGTACAAACTGGTGTTCTACATATTCTTAAAGACCACAGACACCAAACTAGGCTATTATATCCAACAAAACTATTAGTAATAACAGAAGGAAAAAGGAAAGCTTTCCATGGTAAAGATAAATCCAAGTGGGGCTGGAAAGACAGCTCAGCATTTAAGAACACTGGCTACTCTTGCAGAGGACTGGGGTTCAGTTCCCAGTACCCACATGGTAGTTAACAACGGTAGTTAACTCCAGTTCCAGGGGATCCAATATCCTCCTCTGGCCTCCATGGGCACTGCACACATGGATACATTTATATGCATATGGGCAAAACCATCATAAACATAAAATAAAAATAAAAATTTTTTAAAAATAGATTTAAGGAATTTACATCCACTAAGCCAACATTACAGAGGATACTAAAAGGAATACTTCCCTCTGAAGAAGACTAACACATTCAAGACAGCACAAGGAATAGCAGTTCCAGAACAGTTAACCAAAAGAAGCCAAAGAAAACAGTGTCACCACAACAAAATGACAGGTATTAATAAACACTGATCAGTAATAACTCTCAATAAAGACACAGACTAAATGATTGGATTAAAAAATAGGATTCATCTTTTTGTTGCCTCCAAGAATCATACCTCACGATCAATGATCCACACCACCTTAGGGTAAAAGGACAGAAAAGGTACTCCAAGCCAATGGAACTAAGAAACAAGCAGGCTATTCTAATATCTGACAAAATAAACTTCAAAATAAAACTAGTCAGAGAGATAAGGAAGGATATTTCACACTTATTTAAAGGAAAACCCTTCCAAGAAGATATCCAATCCTAAAAATATATGCACAAAATACAGAGGCGCCCAATTTCATAAAAGAAATACTCTTAGGCCAGGCATGGTGGCACACACATTTAATCCCAGCATTCGGGAGGTAGAGGCAGGTGGATCTCTGTGAGTTCAAGGCAAGCCTGGTCTACAAAGGAAGTTCCAGACCAGCTGGGGCTATAGGGAGACCCTGTCTCCAAAAGACCAAAAAAAAAAAATAAAAAAAAAAAAAAAAAAAAAAAACTCTTAAGATCTAAAATTACAGAGTGACTCCAACATAGTGACAGTGGGACCCCATTCTAACCAACAGACAGGCCATCCACACAAAAACTAAGCAGAGAATTCTTGGAGCTAAATAACACCATAAATCAAATGGACCTAACAGTCATTCCACCCAAACACCAAAGAATACACTTTCTTTTCAGCAGTTCATGGAACTTTCTTCAAAACGGACCACATATTAGGATACAAAGTAAGTCTCAACAAATTTAAGAAAACTGAAATAACATCCTGTAGCCTATCTGACCACAAAGGAATAAAACTAAATATCAGTAACAAGAGCAATAGGAACAAAAAATATACAAACTCAAAAAGGAAAAAAAAAAAAAAAAAAGAAAAACCTAAAAAACAATTACTGAATGAAAACTGGGTCAAGGAAGAAATCTATAAAGAAAATTCCCAGAATTGAATGAAAATGAAAAGACAATACAACAACAAAATCTAAGGGGTGCAAGGAAGGCAGCCCTAAGAGGAAAGTTTATCTCAGAAAATTGGAACTGTCCCATGTTAATAACAAAGATGCACCCCAAGACCTCAGAAAAATAACACACACACACACACACACACACACACACACACACACACACACACACAAAAACAAAGAGTTGGTTCTTTGAGATTAACAAGATTGACAAACCTCTAGCCAATTTACCAGAAGAAACAGAAGAGGAAAGGGGAAACCTTTCAATAGATACTAAGGAAATTCAGAGAGCCATAAGAAAGTATTTTAAAAACCTTTATTTCAATAAGCTAGATAAATCTAGAAGCGATGGATGAATTTCTTGATATATAT